GGGCCGAGAGCACGCGCGCTAGCACGAGACCAGCTCGAGGCTCACGTTCCTTCCCGCCGCTGTCGATTGGAGACTGGGACTTGCGCTGCAGGGGCGGCTGGGATGGATGTCGCTGTTGGGACGGGGTGACAGGTGTGACTTGTGACGCGGTGACTTGTGACTTGCTTTTGCCGCTGTGTCATCTGGTACAGGTGCTGCATGCATTCCAATCGCCCTCCAATATTATGGTAAGAGCCTTTTGCGGACTCATAGGCCATTGCAAGTCGGATGTTGGTCCATCTAAACCAATCTCCCTGTTTGATGGGCCGATAGCTTTCATTTGCAGGTTGAAGTTTGTGCGCAAAAGTGCATCTCTCAGTGTAGCCATCGGATGCATTAGATAAACGTTGTCGATCAACTACTTACCAACTAGCGATAGGGATTGGGGCCAAAGCAATAATGGTCGCAGAAGTGGAGCGTGCGAGCCAGGGTTGACCGACACGGAGGGACAGGGTACACAAAAGCGCTCATGCATGGTCATACTACCGTTGGTGTTTGAACACACCCTAGGTTCTTCATGTTGGAGGGATGATACCTCGTCAGATGACGACAAATCGATTGTTAAAGATGAGCATACCGTACGCTTTTGAGTATATAAGTATGCTCTGTGGAGAGGGAAGGTTAAGCTCCTGCTTAGTTGCTTGACCTTGATCGTAATGATCTGGTGCAAGCGCTTAATCTTACGCTAGATTTTGTTCTTGTTCTTGGTCTTGGTTTCAATCTTATTTTTCTGTATTTTTCGTCGCTGGTACATGGGGGCTCGTGCATCACTGGCGGACACGGTGCTGTGGGGGGCTCGCTCGTCAGGACGGGAGGGGGTTACGATAGTTCCCTTCAATATGTACGCCTTCGCTAAAATTACCTTTAAGTCGCCACAACGATGGTACTGACTTGGCACGCAACGCCAGCTACTTTACTGGACAGGTACGCGATATCGTTGCCAGATTAGGTGGCGGGACCCCTATATTCCCCGAAATAGATCATTTTGGGTTGCTCTCGACTGCACCGCGCGATTTTGCTGTCGCTAGCAGTACGCAACGCGAAACCATTCAGATGGTTTGGCTGCAGACGCAGGGCGCGCGTGGGCTCGTCGTAGTCAGCTGCGGGTTCAGCTGAAACGGGTCAACTTTCGCCTTGCATTGCTTGCACGTCAAGCCTTCCCCCTCGCCAAGCTGTAAGCGCAGCTTACAGCATTTACTAAACTATGAACAAACAATTTAATGTCGCTTCAACATCCAATGTGCGTCAAAATATTTGAGAATGACGAGATCAAAGAACGATCTATGTACATCAAATTCGCCGCTTTTGAAAGAACTGAGCAAATATCTCGGATGATCCCACCACTACTACACAAAAAGGATTCAAAGGAGGCGCAGATCAAACGGCCAGTCCTTTATTTTTTCTTTGTATTTTTTGGTAAAAAAAACACTTTTTGCAAGTAATAAAAATAGTGCTCTTGTATTATAATACTTAGTATAATAGCTGCAAATCTATTACAGCATGCTGATATTACTCTTATTTCAATACAGGTAGCTTTGCAGCGATTTTGTTAAAACGAGATTAGATTTGCTGGATTTAAAAGTAGCAGGTGGTAGATTTACGATAATACGAATCGTGACCCACGATGATTTACGGTAAAGTGGCCAAAATTGCACTTTTGAGAGTGCATTTCTGTCACAGATGCTGTATTTCGTTCCACTGCACCAGTAGCTGGACAACGTATCAAATCTAACCAAAATCTACGAATTGCATACAAACAATACCAACAGCACCGTAGCTTGTAGATTTGCACTTAAACTAGTGACAGCTTCACCTAAATTTTCACGTGCCCACAGCCAATCATTCTAGAACCACGATTGGATTCACCACATCTAACCACGTGGCTTTCGACTCAGTTCTCATAAAGCTTACGAACCCCCCAACCAAGCCCCCACGCGTCTGCTCACCAACAATGCCTCGCCGACTAAATTGGATGCTCCTTGCCCAAAGCCTGTCCCTCAACGACGCCAACCTACTGCTTGACACGTTTAAAGCTACTGCTGTCATGAAGAGCGATGAGCTCCATGCATTTTGTGTGCGGTTTTTCCAGAAAAACCGCTCCCAACCCCCACACATGAGGGTGCGGCTGCTACGCAGCTCCTGCGAGCCGTGCGCCAACGATGTCCCGTACACTCGCTGCACATGGAGAGGGAAAACGCAGTAGTGTTGTGTGCTGGACATCGTGACTGTGTGGGAGGCTGGAACTCATGCAAGTCGCCGCCGGCCTGAGAGGCGTATTCGGCTAACATAGCCAATGAAGGTGGTTGCCAGGGAAATGGCGGCTCACCAGCACCGCCCTACCCGGCTTCAAAACGCGCTTCTCCGCCGTTTCAACCTTAGCCAGAACAGCTTGCCATCTCTTGCAGTGGTGCAGCGATTTCTTCACCATTATCGCGCTGCCCACCTAGGCGACAGCGACTTCTGGGATGATGTCTCGAGCTTCGTGCGCGAGAGGGGCTTCACGGGGCCAGGAAAAATTGAATGTAGGCTTCACTTTTACATGGAAAACGGATGGTGATGGCCGTCCGGTTGTAGGTACTGGCACCGATATGGATTCGTTTGTTGTGGGGCTGTCGTCTAAAAAATTGCTGCAGCGATAAGATCAAGATCCGGCAGCTTATGTGCTACACGCTGATGCTACATTCAAGCTCAATCAGGTCAGCTACCCTGTCATCGTTGTCGAAATATCTGACGGCATGAGAACGTTTCATCTCCTGGCCGTGTTCATCTCGTCGCAGCGGACAAAGGTTCAATACGTTGAAGCTTTGTCGGCGCTGAAGCGAGTATTTCGAACCATGACAGGGCATGATCTAGCCCCTCGTTCCGTCATGGTCGATGTAGACGAAGCTCAACTGAACGGCGTCGAAGAAGTTTTTGCCTCCTCTATCGATGGAGCCAAGCCTGTTGGCTTGATGTGTTACTTCCACGTGTTGGCAAAGGCTCGCGAAAAGACTCGTGCACTTGAGCCTTTGCTTGCTGCCCGTGTAATGCGCGACATCGCTGACCTGCACTTCACTGCTACTGCGGGCGCGTATACTGAGAAGAAGACGAAGCTTTTGTCAGACTGGGAGGGAGACACCAGGCTCACGGCGTTTACTGCTTACTTCAAAAAGCAGTGGCTGGACAGCAGGTTCATCGCTGGCAAGTGTTCCACCCCCGACCAGGCATCGCCACGACTAATAATCCCGTCGAGCAGTACAACCGGGCCTTGAAGAGAGACTATACACTGCACTTACGCCTCAAGATGGGCGCGCTGATAGAGCAGCTGCTGCAGTGCTGTCGCACTGAGAGTTTGAAGGAGAAAGCATTCGCTTTGGAAGTCACCCCCTCACCGTCCTCGTACGACGTGCACGTGACCTTGAGCGAGCGCACAAGATAGGTGAGCTTGTATCGGGTCGATCCCGTGTGTCTTTCTTGTTGAATGACGCACCTTGTGAAGAAGATCATGTGTACGTGGCCTCAGTGCTTTGCGATCGAGTGTACGACCCGCAAGCTCGACGCACTAACGAGTCATTACCTGTCACGTCCCGCCTCAGCGTTCAGGCAGCACGTGCTGAAGCGCGCGGCATGCCAGGTGAAGGCTGGCGTGTCAACGTGCTGTGCCGTCATTGTCCTTGCGACTATTACCCGAAGTTCGGCGTGTGCACACACCTTGTGTTCGCTCTGCATGTGCGTGGTTTGCTGGATCTATCAAAGCGCAAGAAGCTAGCCTATCGTGGCTCGAACAAGGCTCTTCGTGCTCAAAACTAGCAGGAAGGCCTATTGGCATCATCACAGCAGTGAACAGAGAATAATGTCAGGAATCTCAAGGAAACAAATAGAACGAGAGCCTCTTCACCTTTCCTAAATGCTCCTACCGCCCCTTGTGGATTTTGCCTTTCGCATCGTGCTGGTCCCCCCCCCATCCGTCCTGGCACCAGGTAGCAGCGCGTGCACCAGCTCGCCCCGCGCAATTTCCTCACTGCTGCTTCACCACGACGCGCCACATCCTGCACACTTCCCCTGCACTGCTCGGTCGCTCCCTCGAGCTGGTTGCCCCGCGCAACAAACCCTCCGTGGCGCCGTCGTGGCGAGCAGCGTCCCGCACAACGTCCCCTCCTGGTGCAGCGCAGCCTGGTGCCAAATCTTTTGTGGAGCCGGAGCGACCTCCCCGACCTCGACACCTAGCCCTGTCGCTCTGTCAGCCAACGCTCTGCGTGTGCGCCGCGGCGTCCATGTCCACGCCCATCTCAGTGGCATTGTACATCGTTGGGTAGCGCACGACTTCACTTTCGGTGTTTTCGTATTTTGTCCCAGTAGCTGTACAATCAAAATAGGAAGCATTAACCAACGCAAACCTAAGGCATTGCTTGCTGGTGTGACCAGATTTAGATAAGCATTTAGCTAATTATTATGGTCATGAATCTTTTTTCACACACATTTACGATGACGGGCTCATTTTTAGATTTCGTCAAAGTCACTGTATAAGTAAAATATAAGTTTTAAATAAACCGGTTTTTACTGACTATCTATGCAGTTAATTGAAAGTTGACTGTTTATGTGTTTTCGCCAGAAGCTCAATTTGAACTCAGCATCGTATTCGCATGTCAATGCTTGGGCGCGGTTCCGCAAGGATAGGGACATAGTACCCACAATTGGTTGATATCTCTCCGTATCTATTTACAGACTGGAAGATGGAGCCCCCAGTTCTGGCATAATAGTGGCTGGTGCTCCTTCTTTTTATTCTCGCTGCTTGGCTCGTCCGCGCCACTTGAATCTTGAAAGCCAAAGGGCAAGAGACGACTGATGGCGAGTCGCCATTGGCGACGGTACTGTACCATCGCCGGCACGAACTGTGGCACTGCCGGCAGCAGGCCTATCCCTCGCCACTCGCTCAATCATGATCTTGCTACGCTCGGAGACGCAATTCCAAACTTGCCTTCATGTGGCCGAACGCTCGGCTCAGCTCCAACCAAGCAGCGGACACCATGACCAACTGGGCGATTTATACCACAGTGCCGGTGTCTACGGGCAAAACCCCATCTCCGTACACCGGCAGCACCAGTCCCAGTAGTGGAGAGGACACCCCCAGCACATCGGACAACCGTGCCGAAACAGTCCCCACCGGCACTTCCGGCAACAAGCCCGGCATCAACTCAATGTGGCTCAACTGGAAGAATCCAAACACGGTGCTGGACCTATGCGCCGAGACCGAGAGCGGCTCAGCGCTCGAGATGCGCCGCCAAAAGAACCGCGAGTCCATGCGGCGTTCACGACAGCGCCAACGTGACCAACTGCAGCTACTACGCGATGCTGTGGCCGGCCTGGAAGAGCAGTACAAGTCGCTCCGACTACGTTCCGACTCGTCGGAACATCTCCCGGACGCCAATTCCGACAGCAATCGGAAATTTGCCCAAGCAGTCGAACTGTCCAAGCAGTTAGGCGCCGAGAACCTGTACCTAAAGGCGTCCATCCAGTACCAAGCGTCCTGGAAGCTAGAGCTCCGACGAGTCATGGAGACGACTGTGGCACTGGACGAGTTCACCGCTTCAGCGTCGACGCCGCCCTCGCCGTTCCCGTTCAAGTTGGAAATGATGACCGAACAGGAGGCCGAGTCGGTCTTCGGCTTCCATCCGCTCTCGGAACGGGACGTAAAGGACATTATCCTGCAGAATACAAGGACTGTCAAGCGGGTGCAGCATCAGCTGCTGACCACGAACAGCAAGGAGAGCGCGGATAACAACAGCGACCACGAGATCGCCGACGAAGAGGTGGCCGGCAAGATCGACCGTTCGGAACTCTTCGGATGGGATCTGCGACGACGTGTCCGAGGCAGCGACATGGAGTTCGTCTTCACCAAGCGGTTCAAGAAATTGTCCGTGTCGGAGCTCATGCAAAAGGCCTGGGTGAACGAAATGTGCTTGAAAGGCGCCCAGGTGGTCAAGTACGACGTCCAGCGGCTGGAAATGCTGCAAGAAGTCAACACGAACGCCTACGTGCTCGGTCGCGACGTCCGCTCGCCTGACGAGACCCCTGTATTCCGCACAACTCTGCTGCGATACCGCATGGAGACGACGGGCGACGTGCCGTCAAACAACTCGTCGCTCTTAAGTGAAGACGAACGCGAGTTGGACTCGGATCTGAGCGCGACCGGCTTTGTGATCGGCACGCAGAGTCTGAATCCGGCAGACACTTCCGGCGCCAAGCTGCTGCCGGAACGTGACGGCATTGAACCGTCGGCACGTCTAGTGTGGGCGGAGCTGGCGCATTCCATCGAAATGCTGCAAGTAACCGACCGCGTAACTGGAGAAGACAAGTACGTGCAAGTGCGGTGGGCCGGCAGGAACAACTACGGCACGCCATTCGACGCGCACCGGAACGCCGCCGACATGGTCACGACACTCATGCGCTGGGAGCTCGGTACGATCGCGCCTGCCCTCCAACTGATCCCGAACTCCGACACCGAACCGATGAACTCGAACTAGACGCCGTAGTGGCCGTTTTTCCAGGATAATTTATGCGTAACAGAGTTGTAAGTGGAAGGCGCTCTTTTGGATAATGAAAGTGAAAACTGAAGGTTTTATATACAGAAACACCGATAAATCTGTGGTCACTCAGGCTTTCTTCAACCACAGGCCCAACACTACCGGTATCAGTGGCTCGCGTGGCTTCAGCCTCGATGTTGCCGACCCACGCAGCCACACATGAGCTTCCGAAGCCACGTACGTAATCAGACGGAAGTGATCTTTCGTGCAATTGAGGCCTAGGCGCAACCACAACCAAAAGTGCACGAGGCTCGAAGGCTCAAACTGCCCTCGATACAGCAGTTTGCTTTGGTCGAGAAGACTTTGGCGTCCATTTTCAGACGAAAGCTCTTCGTCATGCACTCCAAGGAAACGCCCGATGCGAAAACGAGAACTTAAGCAAGTTCAAGGACATCAATCAAGTGGCGCCCACTGTCGCGAAGCACCAAGTTGCACACATTGCTTGAAGTTCTTTTTTCCTTGAATACGCTCGCGCATCGACAAACTGAAGCAAGGATGGTCCACGTGGTGTGGACATGGTGTGGACCTGCTTTGTGACAAGCAGCGGGAAAAACTATGGAGCTCGAGATACCCAAATTTAGAAATAGTGCTATTTGATGTACCCAAATGCATTTTGTGTTTTAAACATAATTGTCAGGTTGGACTTTAATTGAGCTGCCACAATATCAGCACAGCCGTCCGAGATGACAGTGATTATTACAAGAAGCTCTCCATTGGGGAAGCTTCGGGATTAAAAAATATACTTATCACTTCTCTTTTTCAAAGTCAGGTTTAATTACAGTCATTTAGCTGTCCTAACGACCACATTAATACTAGTCACTACTCCAAAGCAGGACATTTTTTTAAACTTTTTTTGGCTGCATGAATTCCATTCATTTATTTAATGAGCTTGGGAGGTAGACTGTAACGGGGTACGTAGCACTAAGTGTACCCTGGTTACATGAAGTGTGACACTTCACACTTCAGGAGTATGACATGTCATACTCCGGGATATTTGGTACAAGGTACCAAGGTCATTCAAAACCAACCATTGGTTAAATGACATTGCATTTCTATAGGTAACTGATAGTTTGTATTAACCACAAACTTAACCTACCTATAAATATACTCAGTTTACAATCTACCTTATTTAGGTCACTTCGCTCTCTTTAATTAAAGAGGGGACCTGTGAACTGCCGTTCACTGAGAGTTTGTATACTCTCGGAAGATAACTTCCTCTAGCGCAAGGTGCTGTGTGACCCCGTCACACTTGGTAGCACTTGTAGTCAATCCACGCCATCGCGGGTAGACTACCTGAACCTCCGAAGTTCGTTGCCATGGATAGGAACGACTTCTCCCATATGAACGACTCTCACTTCGAGTCGGTTCGGAAGATGGCAGGCATCTTCGGGATGGAGGCCCTGCAGAGCCTGGTGGTATCAACACCGGCTGAGCAGCTCGAGCGCGTCAATGCATTCGACGCGTACGAGCAGGGCCTCATCGCGCATGTGCGGGAGAACCTGCAGGCTCCGGCGGCGGGAGCAAACCCGCCTCACCCGAAGCCAATACGGCTGAAGGTAAAGCCGTATGAAGGGAAGGAAGGCGAGAACCTTCACTTCTGGGTCCGAGAAGTAGAGCTCGCGATGGACGCGGCTCTGATCTCGACCGAGCAACTGCGTGTTGCTTTTGCACTCTCCAACCTTAGCGGTCGTGCTAAGAGTTGGGTGTACACTCGGGAAGCGACATCCCCTGGATGTTTCACATCCTGGGCTCAGCTGTGCGAACAGCTCCGAGCCGCGTTCCTCCCGGCGAACTACGAGTACCGCCAGCGTTCGCGCTTCCTCGCGTGTAAACAAGGAAGACGCGAACTGCACGAGTATGTGCAAGAGATACGGGAGCTCACGGCGTCCCTAGTGGGAAACCCACTCAATGAACACATCAAGATGACTGTGTTCATGGACGGCCTTCGAGTGGGCCCCGCACGCACTCAGCTGTTCCGGGTGCAGGCAAGCACCCTTGAAGAGGCGATTCAAGTGGCTCTTCAAGAAGAGTACAGCCATCGCCAGGCGCGTACGCCGGCCTCAGCGTGGCCTGGGAGTTCCTTGTCGGCTCCCGGTCGAACAAGCCCCAACGGACCAGTTCCCATGGAACTCGGGTCCGCCGAACAGCGTGACATCCGCTGCTTCGGCTGTGGGAAGATGGGCCACTTCAAGCGCGACTGTCCCGCGGAAAGACTCCGCAGACGGTCCTTCCCCAAGCCCGTCCTCAAGGGTCGCTGGCAGAAGCCAGGATCCCGGGACAGGGGAACGCAGGGAACCAGTAGGGGCGGGGCGCCCTACTGGGGAAGAACTAAGTCTTCGTGATGGGTGCGCGGGTGGCGTGTACCACGGGGACTTAGCCCCTGAGAGTCTTCGCACTCTCGAATCGGCGAAGAGCAGCGGCGGGTTGCTCGTAGTACACGGATGTGTACGGGGGTACGATCACCCCTTTAGAATCTTGATTGACTCTGGGGCGTCGAAGAATTTCGCACGCCGCCAGACGGTTGCTCGGAACAGCAACAAGTTGTCCGAAGCTTTGCGAGAAAGCAAGGGCAACGGGACGGTGTCAGTGCGACTGGCCGACGGGAAGGTCGTCACTGTCCCCAACGTCCAAGTGGATCTGGCTGTCAAGTTTGAAGACTTTGACAGCCTCGAACAGTTCACTGTTCTCGATATGGATCCATATGATATGATCCTGGGCATGCCCTGGCTTGAGAAGCACGAGCCCTGGATCGACTGGCGAGGCAAGGCAATCGGTGCCAGCCGCCCTGCGCAGTCCGACAGAGCATTGGTGAGTCATGTTCCCACCTCTGTCAGGACCCGGGGCGCCCGCGAGGGCTGCCAGGGTACCAAAGCATCCGGCAGATGCTTGGGAGTCGTCGACGTATATGACGACTCCGAGGATGTTTTGATGGTGGCCGCGCCCAGAAGAGGCGCCGGCCAAGTGGGTAACTTAGGTCCACAGGCGGGTAACTTAGTTCCGCAGACAGCTGCAGCTGTCATGAACACTGAGAACAGCGTGTTCAGAGTGGGTAACAGAGTTCCACTCACGGTCGCCCAGACCATAACTGAAGAGGAAGACGTCGGATACGCTTCCTGTGTGAGTAACACAGTGCCACACGCGGTCGCCCAGACCTTAACTGAAGAGGAAGGCGTTGAACACGCTTCCTGTGTGGGTAACACAGTGCCACACGCGGTCGCCCAGACCTTAACTGAAGAGGAAGGCGTTGAACACGCTTCCTGTGTGGGTACAACAGTACCACACGAGGCCCACGAGTGCCTCGGATGTCGTAGCGACGACATCCCTAGACGTGGGCAGCAAAGCTCCCCGTCACAGAAGCCGTCGGCAAAGACGCCGACGCCGCCTCAAGTCGGATCCGAACTTCGTTCCGATCGACGTCGCTTCAAGCGACTCGGAGTCCAGGGCCCGGGCTCCTCCGACAAGGCCGGTGGAAGAGTGCTATCACATCTTCGATAGCGAGACGGGTTTACCCGTCAAGGCATCTGGTGTCCACTTGGAACAGTTGCCAGAGGTTGCAGAGATACTGAACCTCGAGGAAATGACGGCTGAGTCTTTCCTGGCCAACCTCAAGGCTGGAGAGATCGCTGAGATGGTACTCATAAGACCTGAGACCACTCAGGAGGAGCTGAACTCCTCCTCTGTCTTGGACGAGAACGTCCTGGAAGACATGAACAAGCAGCGTCAGGCGCGCTTGGGTTCTGAGATTCTCAAGAACCCCAAGGATCCGGTGTATCCTTTGGTGACGGAGTATGCGGACGTGGTGAATAAACACCCACCGACCCAACTCCCACCGGATCGAGGCGTACGGCACGAGATTGATCTCGTGCCCGGCACAAAGTATTGTGTCACGAGGCAATGGCCTCTCCCGCGCGAACAGTGCGAGGTCATTGATGCCTTCTTCGCCGCGAAAGCGAAGGCAGGCATGGTGCGGGAGTCGAAATCCCCGCACTCGACGCCGACTTTCTGCGTTCGTAAGCCGAACGGAAAGTGGCGTCTGGTTCACGCTTATAACAAGCTGAACAACGCAACGGTGCCGGCCCAAACACCGATCCCACGAAAGGATGTGTTGTTGAACAACATGGCCGGGAGCGTACTGTACAGTGCGCTGGATTTGGTAGACGGATACTACCAAATCCTGATGCGAGAGAGTGACATCCCGCTCACCGCGGTAAGCACTCCAAGCGGCATGCTTTGGGAGTGGCTCGTCATGCCGCAGGGCTTGTCTAACGCCCCGGCGACGTTCAATCGCCTGGTGACGCAATTGTTCCGCCCTTTGCGTACCTTCGTACAGACGTACTTCGACGACATTTTCGTCCATAGCCGTGCCGAGGGAGGCAAGACGGCCATGGAGGTGCATCTAGGACACCTCCGTCGAGTGTTGGACGTGATGCGAGCGAACAAGCTCTACGCCAACATCGACAAGTGCGTTTTCGCGTCACCAGAGATCAAAGTTCTCGGTTGCTTCGTAAGCAACGTGGGCGTTCGGGCTGACCCAGACAAGGTCAAGGCCATAGCAGCATGGCCGACGCCCCGATCCCAGAAGGATCTTCGAAAGTGGTTGGGTTTGGCCAACTACCTTCACAAGTACAGCGCTGGGTACGCGGGCTTCGCTAAGCCTTTGTCGAGCCTCCTTCAGAAGGACGTCGACTGGCGCTGGGAGCAAGAGCACCAGGATGCTTTTGACAGCATCAAGGCCAGTCTCCAAGAGACCCCTGTCCTGGCTCTGCCGGACGAGACGAAGCCGTTTAGCGTCGTCTGCGATGCCTCCGATTACGCCATCGGGTGTGCATTGCTGCAGGACGACACGGCTGGACAGGAACGAGTCATCTCATTCCAGTCCAGGCAGCTCAAAGCCGCCGAGCGGAACTACCCTGTCCATGACAAGGAGCTCCTGGCAATGA